GGATTCGTCGGCGGATCCACCGGATCCGCCGGATCTGTCCGGAAACGGTGCCGGAGGCCGCTCTGGGCTCCTCTGGGCACCTCCCCCGGGGCCGGTTTTCCGGGGATGTCTGAGGCGAGGGCGCCGGTTTGGGATTCGTCCCCGGATCCAGCGGATCCGTCCGGATCCGTCCGGAAACGGTGCCGGAGGCCGCTCTGGGCTTCTCTGGGCACCTCCCCCGGGGCCGGTTTTGCGGGGATGTCTCAGGCGAGGGCGCCGGTTTGGGATTCGTCCCCGGATCCAGCGGATCCGTCCGGATCCGTCCGGAAACGGTGCCAGAGGCCGCTCTGGGCTCCTCTGGGCACCTCCCCCGGGGCCGGTTTTGCGGGGATGTCTCAGGCGAGGGCGCCGGTTTGGGATTCGTCCCCGGATCCAGCGGATCCGTCCGGATCCGTCCGGAAACGGTGCCGGAGGCCGCTCTGGACTCGTGCTCTTCGCGCCGGGGGTGAGGATGACGTGAGTTCCACAGAAACTCCCTCAAACGAAACGATCCCCCTTGTGGAACTTCGGGACAAGTTTCTTGCGTTTAAAGTTCCCACTGCATTTTTGAAACTCGTTTTCAATGTATGGAGGGCTCCTCGAGTGCTACGTCTCAGACAGCACCACTCTGAAGGGGTCGCACATGCCGAATTCGGGTTACCTGCAGGCGATTGCTTCAATGATATCAGCATCAAGGTGCATGCTGTGAAGTCTTTCGATCAGTTTGTTGCTAGCCAGCCGACACTAGTCAATTTCACATCGTATATTGATGACTCGGGCTTTCAGATTTCCTGTGGCCAGAGACAGAGTGCGGTGCAATTAGCAGTCGATGCAGGTCGTGCCTTTTATCACGCGAGCAGGCAGATAAATGCAGCAGTTAATGATAAAGTTGCTGTTGTTGCCAGCGATATTTCACTTGCACGCGACGTCGTATGTGGCTTAGGGCTTGAGCCCAAGGTTGCGAAGCAATCGGTCACATATCTTGGCGTAGATGACAGTGCTGGTGCCAAGCGCTCTGCTGCTCGTGCGCGTGTAAAACAGCGGTCCCGCCTCTGGGGAATGAAGCTGCGAGTGAAAAAGACCGGCAGGTTTAAGTCCCGAGCTCCGAATAAAGAGGCCAAGAAAGGTCTCTCACAGGTCATTCGCACGGGTGTTGTTCCTGCTTCGTCGTACGGTTCTGAGGTTTTGGGCTTTTCGGATGCTGAGCTTAACACTGTGCGAAGGACCCAGGCTCGTCGGTTGCCGCCCTCCCATGGAGGGACCAGTGCCACGGCAAAACTCGTTTTGTACGGAGAGTGGGACACACGAGCTGCCGTTGGCCCTGCTCTCCAGTGGTGTCGCATGTTGTGGAATGCCCAGGTCAGTCCCAATCGATCCCTGATCCCTTTCCAGGAGTTGCTTCAGCTTTGGGAGCAGGCCAGGGCTAGCGAGGCTAGCGATTGGAATTCCAGCCGTGGCCCCCTTGCGCGTGCCACGTTGTCGGCTCGTCGTGCAGGCTGGAAAGTGGTATCAGGCACCCAGTGGATTGACCATTGGGGCTGCACAGTAGATGTGAGTAAGACTCCCCCTCGCCTCCTCCTCGATCTCCTCCGAGAGGGATTGCAGCGAGAAGCGGAGCTTCGTTTTGCATGCAGGTTAGGGCACGCGCACGGTATGCGAGCCACTTTCGACCTTGTGCGCAATTGCATGTGTACGCGTAATAAGCAGCACACGCGTCAGCAGCAGTTCCTTCTCTTGTCGTGCGCCACGGATGCGATATGGACCGAGGCGCGCGCGTGTGATGCTGGTTACCTCACGGATGGCATGTGTGTTTGCGGCCAACGTGACACGTTGCACCATAGGTTGTACACCTGCTCGCGTCCTGAGGTGGTGGAGGCCCGACAGTCTCTAAACATTCCGTCGGAAATTTTGAACGAGGGGGCACACAGCGATGATCCTGTGTTTACTCGTGGTTTGTTCACGTTCTCGGATAAAGATGTGCCCCCTCCAGCCACCCACGCTCATTGTGACATCCTCGACGGCGCAGGTCAGGATTTGAATATGCAGCCTGAGGAGCTCGCAACGCTTGCAGGTGATGTGATCGAGCTTGAGATGGCCTCCGACGGCAGCTGCACGAAGCAGGCCCTCCGCTGTCTCCATCGTGCCGCGTGGGCGATCGCCCTCATGGAGCCAGGCAGCGAATCGCTTCTTGCCATCTTGAGGGGCATTGTTCCTGGCGGTCTTCCCCAGACCCCTGCGATGGCCGAGCATGCGGGGGCGGCCCTGGTCGGGCAAGTTTCAGATCGCCCCACGGCGTTGGCCCTCGATTGTAAAGCTGTGATTTGTCAAACGCAGAGGCCCCTCTGGAAACAGCTGAGTGGTTCCAATAAATTTGCTGGTGTGAGGCGGTTTGCCCATGAGCTAGCAGGCACTGAATTTCTGTCCACCTTCCATGTAAAGGCCCATCGAGAGCTCTCTGCCCTTGAGGACTTGGAAGGTGATGATCGTAGGTTTGGTTTTGCGAATCGTGCTGTGGATGAGCATGCCAAGAAGGCCATTGAGGGCCATCCTCGGCCCCTGCCCACCTTTTTGGACCACGTTGAGCTGTACCAAAATCGAGCCAATGCGTTTATAAAGCTTGCTTCCGAAGTTTTACCCCTCTTCAAAAATGAGGTGCGTTGGAAGCGAGCTGCTTTCACAACCCAGGGTCGTAGTCGTCAGAAGAAGACCTGGCACCTCTGGAGGAGAACCGAACTGGGCATGCAGTGTCGTTATTGTTGGACGGTGTGTGATCGACCCGATCGGCCCATTTTCGGGTGCAGGGGACCGCCTCCTGCTCTCCAGAAGCTGCTGCGCGATCCCCTTGGGCACCAACTCGTCGCCGTGTCGGGCTCGGCTCTTGATGCTCCTCGGTCGGACCTGGTTCTGGGCCCCTGCCGTGAGCAGCAGATTCTGTGTTTGAAATGTGGGGGTTGGTCCCAGGGTAGAGCCCTAAAGCTCGCCGAGGTCTGTGGTAAGCCGACGCGGAAAGGACTGGACGTCCTGAGCCGTTTTCGTCGCGGGCTTGGCCCCAACATGAAAATCAAGGCCTTGATTGAGAAGGCGTTGCCTGTGTCAAGGCTCGATGTTGCCCTTGAGTCGGATGATAAGCCCGAGCTGTGTGTTACCTCAGTCCCGCGAGCGTTTGCGGACTCTCCCTCGGCCCCCACTTATGAGCAGCGAATGGCGTCCCTGGTCGCCAGAATTAAAGCTAAAGAGAAGGCAAGAGCCTCCAGGGCGGTTTAACTCGGGTCGATCCCCCCCCCAAGCTTTTGGTGCTGTCACCTCCCGACCTTTCAAGGCGCTGTCCATCCATCCATCCTCTTCCTCCTCCTCCGCCTCCTCCTCCTCCTCACACCCGCACCGATCCCGGGAGCGGCCGAGACCGGGTGTTGCCAGGAGTGCCCGTGGCCCTCGGGCGGGTGCCCCCCAGGAGTTACAGGGAGGCCCCCACGGCCTCCAGAGAACACCCCTCGCGAGGGGCCCAGAGGTCCCCACGGGCTCCAGAGCGGGGCGAAGCGCCAAACGGCTGCCCTGGGCCAGGGGCACCTCTAGCAACCCCTGGCGAGAGAGGGGGGAATGGCCAGGGGGTGTGAATCTCAGAGCGGGGGCCACATTTCACCAGTTTGAAACATATCCCTATCCCTATGTTTGACATCACCTCACCTCGATGCTGATCTCAAGGATTCCCTCAGTTTCTGAGGGCCTATCCCTAAGATTGTCCTCGCTTGTTGCTCGCCCATCTTAGGGATAGGGATAAGTTCGAGGCCGGTTAACATTATCTCCCAGATCTCCTGGCCACCCCGTCTGCTTCCAGCGTGTCCTCCGGCCCGCCCTTGGCCGCGCGCACGTGCCTCGGGCCATGAGCTGCGAAGCCCCCTCTCGGACGCGCCCTCTTCTCGGGGGTGGACAGACCTCCTACCCTGACACGTCGATTAGTGAATTGTCCGTTTTCGGTTCTCGAGAGGGCGCCGCGGTCGTCATTGTCCAGGCTTGCGCCCGCCAGGTTTGGGCCCGAGGTCGTTTTCACTAAACCACGTTTTACTAAAGGGGTCTGTCCATCCCCGATTTTCACTGCCCCCGACGATCCCAAGAAGGGCGTGTGCGATTCGGTCGGTTCGGCTGCGTCTCCAGGAGGAAGAAAGGGCATGAGCATGAGCTTTCGCATTTCTGTGCGGTTTTCTCAGGGATCTGATCTGGACCCTCCTGGCGGCGCCTTTGGTACCACCCCTGGCGCGCTTTGCGCACCAGGAAGGAGGGTCCAGCGCTGATCCACGAATCTGCGCGGAGTTTCGAAAGTTCATGTTTATGGCGGTGTTTACTATTTTACCGTTGCAGTCGGCAGAGTTCGGTCGGTTCGGAGCGGTTGGTGGTTGTGCCGTTGCTGCGTCGCTACGACTTCCAAGGCCGCTTGCAGCCTGTCGGTCTCGGTCGGTTTCGGCTTCTCTTCCTGTTTGGTCGGTGTTCGGCTGTGCTGTCGCCGTGGACGGCATTGGGTCCTGTCCAGACCCATCCCGGGCCCAGGAACTGGTGCTCGCTCACTCCTGGCTGGGCAGGGGGCGCGTGTGTGTACCGATTGGGACCAGGAGGATGAACGTTGCCCGGTGCGATCTCAAAATCGATCGCTGGGCCCCTTCCAGTGTCACCGTGGCAGTCCGCTCTTCGGAGCCGCGTCTGGCCGTGGCCACGATGGCCTCCAAGAAGATGCCCGCAAAGCAAAGCTTGAAGACTCTCGACCCTCAGTATCGTTTAACCGATGCCCATCCCCATCCCCATCCCGATTCCCACCATCTCACTGCCCCAGTTGGGGATACACCCTTCGTAACCCGAAGAGAGCAGCCCATATCCCCATCTAGGGGGATGAGTCGGCCAGTGGGGCCCAGCCCAGGTGGGGATGGAGATCGGTTGAACGATGCTCAGATCCTCAGGACTGCCTCCCTCGGGACTTTTCCGGGCGCCCTCAGGAGCCTGGCGCAGTACGAGGAGCTGCGGCCGCTGCTGGAGGGCGCCGACGCCCCCGCCATCGACAGCGAGCTCGGGCTGCGCCACGTGGCCTTTGTCGTCAAGGCCGGGCCGGCCGCGGAGTCCTGGGCTTCTGTCGGGCGTGTCCTTCTACAGGGGTATTTTCGACGAAAAATAAGACATACCCCAAACATATTCCAAAAAGGTCAAAAATATTTTAGAAATAGTCCCCTGATTATGTTTGAATCATTGTTTGATTATTGTTGGGGTATCTTTCCCTACCTAGGCTCTGCCTAGAGGGTTCTTACTCGCTGGGCTTAAAGGGGCCGGGCAGTGGGCTCCGCCCCGGGCGGTTCCCCCGGTCCCCGCCTCGCGGTTCCCCCAGTTGCGCCCCCTTACCTTAGCTTTGCGTATCTCATCTTAGCTTGGCTTGGCTCAGCTTCATCTTAGCTTAGCTGTAGCTTAGCTTAGCATATCATAGCATAGCCCGGTATAGCATCGCATAGCGCAGCATAGCATGGCATAGCATAGTATAGCATAGCATAGCATAGCATAGCATAAACAAAGCAAACGCAAACACAAAAGCAACGCAAACGCAACATCAAGCAAGAGCAAAGCAAAAACAAAAGGCTTAGCTTAGCTTAGTTTAGCTTAACTAAGCTACAACAACAGCAACAGCAAAGCAAAGCACTAGCAACGCAACGCAAAGCAAAGCAAAAGCAAAAGCAAAAGCAAAGCAAAGGTAAGGCAAAGCAACAGCAATGTGCAATAGTACGATCAGAGAGCCCACCCGGTGAGCGAATGCAAACACATGCGTGTGTGTGTGTGCGAAGGCAAAGCAAAAGCAAAATCAAGCAAAAGCAAAAACAAGCAAAAGCAAATGCATCTACGACGATGAGGAGAAGGAGGAGGACGGCGTTTACCGTTACTACTGATGCTGCTTTCCTAGGGGCTCCAACTCCTAGGTAGGGTCGCACTGGGATAATTCATGTTTCGCCGAAAATCCCCCTGTAGGGGGACAGGCTCGACTTATCCTGGGCGCCCCCCCCCCATGGCTGCACTCGGCAGAGCTGGGGGCCCGAGGCTGGCAATTGTTCGCCACCACCGGCCGTGCCCGTGCCCATTCTGGGGCCCCCCGGTGTTGGTACACGTTCGGGTATAGCCAGGACCCCAGGTAAGGGGACCCGGTTAGTGGTAGGGCCCTGGAGCCCCTAAAGTGGCCAGAATCACTAAACCAGGTCTGCCCTAGCTGGTGTTTTTTCCGGTGACGGCAGTTCCGGTGAGTGGATCGAGGCGGGGGGGGCGTCGTCCCCCAGTACAGATCATTAAACCACTAAACCTAGTTCTGCCAATGCCCGACACGTGCTCCCCCAGCTGAGCCCAAGAGGATATGTTCACCAGTCCTCAGCCCAAGATGGACCTACGTCAGGTTCGCGTCTTGTCGACGTGGCGGCGACCCCGCCGCCGGCGTTCGAGGTTGAGCGCCGCCAATGGCCCAGAGTCGGTCAACACGGAACGATCTGATGATGGACAAGCCGCCCGTCGTTCTTTGTTGGACGATCTACGCGGTGCCAGAAACCAGAGCCGGTGCCGTCACGCCACGGCTTTGCTTCAGCTAGGACGGGTGGTGGTGGTGGTGTCAATGACCTTTACAGCCAAAGTCCAGAGGACGTGCTGCTTCATGAAGGCGACCCTTGCATCCAAACTTCTTCGGCACATCCTGAGCCAATGTGGACGTTCAAGGAGCTCTCCATTCCCCAAGCAGAGCCAGCACTTAGGGGTTCTTATTTCTTTTCTGACAGACTGGGCCTGCGGGCCGCTCTGGCCGCCATGTGGCCACCGTCCCTGTCTCGTCGCCGCCCGTCGCCTGGGCCTGCGGGCCGCTCTGGCCGCCATGTGGCCGCCGTCGCCGCCTTGTCGCCGGTCCTCCTCGCCCGTCGCCTGGGTCTGCAGGCCGCTCTTGGCCGTCATGTGGCCACCGTCGCCGCCTCGTCGCCACCCGCCGCTCGTCGCAGCCCGCTTTGGGTTGCGCTGCATTGCGTTACTTTGCTTTGATGTTTTTGCAGTGTACCCATGTGTGGCACCACGTAGCTCACACATGCACCACATGTATTGCTTACCATCGATTGCACCGCAAAGGTTGTGCCACATAGTTTCCATGACGTATGTTGCAACACCTAAAATGCAGCACGTACGTAGAATCACATCTTTTTGCACAGCAGATGTTGCACTAAGTAGCTTACACCACATATATGGTACCGCATGTCTTGCACCACCTTTCTTGCACCACATGTTACGCCACACAGGTTGCACCACACTCATATTGTACGATGTAGCTTACATCATACCACGTGGCTCGCACCACATATGTTGCACCGCATATTTTGCACCACACGAACTGCACCACATAGATCGCACGATAGCTCACGTAGCTTCCAGCGCATATTTTGAATAACGTAGCTTGCACCACATATCTTGCATCACATAGAGCATACTGATATGGGAATTCCAAGGGTCTCGCATCCTTACCCTGCCTCCTCACTTTGCATGTTGACGGCACCTCGCCCGGACACAGACGCTCGCACTGCAGGACCGCGTGTCTCCGAGGGCAGCGCCGCCGCGCAAGAGGAGGGCAGGGCCACGGCGGATGTTCGGTAGAAATTCCGTTTCGTCAGTCTGCAGAGTGTCCAAGACGACCCCGAAGATGCCCAATTTCGCCCCCAAACGGCCCAAGAGCCCCAACGAGGGGCCCAAGAGGCCTCCAAGACAGCCCCAAGGCGGCCCCAATACGGGAGCTTCGTATGTCTTCTCGTTTCCGATTGAATAGTGCATTAATGTGCGCCAGCGTCTGGTAGTCGATGAAACCGCGCCGATGCAGCGTTGATCTAGCGTCGATTAGCGCCGATTGGCTTCGACTAGCGGTGGTTAGCGGCGATTCGCACGAGCCCGCAAGATGGCATGGAAGGCCCCCATGAAATGCCACCGAAGGGCATTTCCTTCCGAGGAGCCATCCGCATTTTCAAAGGTGCGGGGCGCACGAATTGTCTTTAAAGAGTGCTTCCTGAGCTGGTCGAAGGAGAGCCACTGCATAGGCACGAATTGTCGGAGGCCCGCGCGGATTTCTTCGATCTGCGCTGGACCTCCCTGGCGGCGCCTTCGGGGCCGCTCCTGGCGCGCTCTGCGCGCCAGGGAGGGGTTCCACCGCCGATCCAAGACATCCGCGCGGACCTCTGGAGATGTACGTGTGTGGTGTTTATGCCGCGCAGGGGGTCCAGCGCCGATCCAAGACATCCGCGCGGAGCTTGGAAAGTGCGTGTTGATGCTTGTTGTTTGTTGAGCAGACGGAGGTGGAGGAGGAGGAATTGAGGCGCGGAGTGGTCCTTCCCCGCGCTGCTGCCCCTGGGGACCCCACTGGGCCAGCCAAGCCTCAACATCCATGGGTGATCCGCCGAGGCCACCAAGGCACGGGCGGAGATGGCGGTGCGGATGGAGCGCGTGTGGATGGGCGCGACCTCCAATCGGATCTTCTTGGTGGACGATAGGGGAGCGAACAATGGCATAAACACAGAATCTCAGAGGTCCGCGCGGATTTCGCGGATCCGCGCTGACCCCCCTTGCCCTAGCGCGTTCTCCGAGTTTTTATGTTTATGTCATTCTTCGTTCCCCTAGTGGAACTCATCGACGGGCTGCCCGAGAGCCGCCAGGTGGTGATGAACGACGGGAGCGGAGCCCGCGGCCAGCGGGACGTTGTGGCGGCCTCCCGCTTGCTGATCTGGATGCGTGGCGCCGTGGCCGAGGGGGCGATGAACGGCCTGGCCCCCGAGACCGAGTGGGTCGTCTTGCTCGGCGACGACGTGTTCGTGAACCTCGCGCGCCTCTTCTACTTTGTCGTGCAGCACCCCGCGCGCGAGCACCCCGTGGTCTTCGCCCACTGCCTGTCCGACACCGAGGCGTACGACTTCGACGCGCCGTGCCTCGACGGCGGGGCCGTCCTGCTCAACCGGCTAGCCCTCGACGCGATCGGCGAGGTGGCGTCGTGCAGGGAGTGCCCCCACGTCGTGTCCGACCAGGTTCCGGAAGGGAAACAATACACAGACACAATGAATCGTCGATGTCCCAGGAAATATAGGAAATACGGAAAGGGGGGGGACGAAAACCCAGAAAATATGGGGAATCCTGTTATTTGTGTGTATTCATTTGTGTGTCCCTGGGCCCCTTCACAGGTGTCCCTGGGCTACTGCGCCTTCTTCAACGCCGTGCCGCTCGTCCACCTGCCCGCGCTGCATTGCCACACGCCGCGCATGGGCGACTCCGACCGGCACCTCGTCAGGGACACCGGTCAGGGGAGGAGAGATTGCCCGCACCCGATCATTGCCGTTCACTGAGCGGCCCTGGGTGTTGGCTTCAATGGCCCTGCCCCGTTCGATTCCTTCCTTGGGTGCGTTTGCCAAATGGCTTCGCGCGTCGGGGTGATTCTTATGAGGGTGGACTCTCTCTCCTCTTATCGGGGGAACGTAAGACCCGGGTTTGCCAGGACTCGGGTTCGCCATCGTTTTTTGACGACCGCGCCTCGGATTTTGACGAGGAGAAATTTCGTGGGATGTCTGCAGCGGGAGGCCTCGTCAAAATGCAGGCTCGGCCTCGTCATTTTTCTGACGACCTCGTCGGGGATTTCCGAGTCCCCTGTACCCAGGTCTTACGTTCCCCTGATCTTATCTCGGAGGGAGGAGAAGCGATACCAACACCACCAGGGGGCCCACCTCCGGCGAGGAGGTCCGCGATGCCTCCCCGAGCGGCAGGCCAGGGGTGCCTCGAGCGAGAGGGGGGGAGGCCACACCACCAGGCAGACCCCCCTTTGCCTCCGCGCAGCTCCTCGCCCTGCTGGTGTTGGTGTCGCCTTTCCTTACGTCGGGCCCGTCGCCCTACAGGGGGATTGTCGACGAAAGACGAAAAAATACCCCCAACATAGTCCAAAAATAGTCTGGGAACTATTTTTTTAGTATTTTTGTTACCTCTCTCTTTTTTTGGTTTTTTGTTTAAAAAGTATTTTTTGTTTTTCGACGAAAATCCCCCTGTAGGGGGACACGCCCGACATAAGCCTTTCCCTGCTCCTCCTATCAGAGGGCGCCGACTCCGCCCGCACGCCCGCGCCGACCCTGGCCCGGTCCGCCCTGCATGCCCTGGGGGCCCGGCGGGCTCGGCCTCCCCCGCGGCGAGCCGCGAGAGGGCGCCAGCGCCCGGGGAGGGGGGCCCCGCCGGGGCTCGGTGCAGGTGTCACGCTTCGGCGGCGAGCGAGCGAGGGGGGGGGAAGTGTGATGTCGGGCGTGTCCCCCTACAGGGGGATTTTCGACGAACAAAAAAATACAAGAAAAAATTCCCCAAAAGGCAACACAAATATTCAAAAAATGGCTCCCAGACTTTTTTTTATTATCCGTAAGGGCTTCGCCCCCTGCCGCCGGCCCCCTCTCTCGGAGAATGGGCCATAGAAGAGCTAAGTCATGAGGCCTTGGCGCTGTCGTGAAGCAGTATCGAAACTTCATGCGAAGCCGATTCGCAATCAGCAAAACCAACTGATCACAAGAGGGGTTACCACACCTGGCGATTGGTAAGACGTGTATGGTTTACGGGCTTGGTTACCACACCTTGCGATTAAAGGGCCGAGGGAGTTCTCGCAGTTTGGGTTACCACGCCTTGCGATGGATGTGCGTGAAGGGTGGCACCGAATTTCAGAAATGTGGCAAATCCCTGTGTTTTTGGACCCTGACCCCGCGGATCTGCGTGAGGGGTGGCACCGAATTTCAGAAATGTGGCAAATCCCCTGTGTTTTTGGACCCTGACCCCGCGGATCTGCGTGAGGGGTGGCACCGAATTTCAGAAATGTGGCAAATCCCATGTGTTTTTGGACCCTGACCCCGCGGATCTGCGTGAGGGGTGGCACCGAATTTCAGAAATGTGGCAAATCCCATGTGTTTTTGGACCCTGACCCCGCGGATCTGCGTGAGGGGTGGCACCGAATTTCAGAAATGTGGCAAATCCCATGTGTTTTTGGACCCTGACCCCGCGGATCTGCGTGAGGGGTGGCACCGAATTTCAGAAATGTGGCAAATCCCATGTGTTTTTGGACCCTGACCCCGCGGATCTGCGTGAGGGGTGGCACCGAATTTCAGAAATGTGGCAAATCCCTGTGTTTTTGGACCCTGACCCCGCGGATCTGCGTGAGGGGTGGCGCCGAATTTCAGAAATGTAGCAAATCCCATATGTTTTTGGACCCTGACCCCGCGGATCTGCGTGAGGGGTGGCACCGAATTTCAGAAATGTGGCAAATCCCTTGTGTTTTTGGACCCTGATCCCGCGGATCTGCGTGAGGGGTGGCACCGAATTTCAGAAATGTGGCAAATCCCATGTGTTTTTGGACCCTGACCCCGCGGATCTGCGTGAGGGGTGTCGATTTCGAGCCCCCCCAGCAATTCAGACAACGCGCCCAGGGGGTGCTAAAAATTTGGTTTGGGCCTCCCCCCCCCTCGCGCGGTCAATCAACTAGTTACAGTAACCAGCAATAAGCAGAACTGTAACACTGGAAACTACAAGCTACAACTAGTACAGGAAACTGCGAATCCCGCTCCTACAGCCTGGTGGCCCCACAAGGGGGCCGGCTGATTTTTGGACTATTTTGGGGGTATGTTCTATTTTTCGTCGAAGATCTCCCTGTAGGGGGACAGTCCCGACTTAAGGGAAGTGGGAAGGAGAAGGCCTCCTCAGAGGGTCCGGGAAGTCCCCGGGCCTCCCGAGGAGTTCTCTGGGCCTCCCCCGCGGGCGCGGGCGCGGGGAGCACCTCTCACAAGGCAAGGCCGGAGGGCTTCTGAGCGGTTTCGCCGCCCTCTGAGAAGGCTTCCCCCTTCTCTGCTGGGCAAAAGTTTCACCACCACTTCCATATGCAGGACGGGGGAGGAGAAGGGAAGATGGAGAGCTCCTCCTCCTCCTCCTCCTCCTCCTCCTCCTCCTCCTCCTCCTCCTCCTCCTCCTCTCCTCCTCCTCCCCCTCCTCCTCTCCTCCCTCCCTCCTCCTCCTCCTCCTCCTCCTCCTCCTCCTCCTCCTCCTCCTCCTCCTCCCTCTCCTCCTCCCTCTCCTGCCTATGGTAGTGGTGGTGGAAAATTGGCCCATCCTTCTCGCTCCCCCCCCCTCGCTCCCCACTCTCGATGGCTGGTGCCCTCCCAGGACATGCTGGCGCACCACTGGATCGCGGCCGGCGGGCTCTCGGCCTCCGCCCTCGCGGCCGAGGCGCCGGCCGCCCCGTGGAGCCCCTTCGAGCCCGGATTCCCGAGCTTCGGCTGTGCCGCGCCGCCCGGCCGCCTGTGGACCCTGCAGCAGCTGTCCGAGAGGCTCGCGTTCTGCGGCGCCGCCGCCGGCGAGGGCGGAGGACGCCAAGGTCCAGGCTCAGGTCGGGCATGTCCCCCTAGAGGCGGGAGACAAATAAAACGTGGTCACAAGCTGTTCACAAAGTACACCACAAGATTCAAACAATGGTCCCCATATTATTGTTCGACTATGTTTGGATATTCTTCCTGTCGAGGGGCACGCCCGACTTAAATCATGGCGTCCCAGATGCGTCGGCGATGCGTCGGCGATCTCTAGGCCTCCGTGATGCATCGGCGATGCGTCTCGACGTGGGGCCCGATGGTCTCCACGCCGACGTGGCCCAGGCATCGGCGACGTCGCCAGTGCATCGCCGATGCTGCGCCGATGCATCGCCGATGTATCGGCGACTGCGTCCAGATCCTGCGACCACGTCTAGGATTACGTCGGGCCTGTCCCTCTACAGGAGGAATATTCAAAAATAATCAAAAAATTGTATGGGGGCGATTTTTCGACTGTTTCTGTTTATTTTAGGGGCATGTTTGTATAGTTTTGATTTTTCGCCCCAAATCCCCCTGTAGGGAGACACGCCCGAGGTAAGTCTAGGAGGCCTTTGACTACTTTGGCCGATTTGGGGTGTATTTTTTGAGTGTTTTTATGTTTCGTCCAGAGTCCCCCTGTAGGGGGACAGGCCGACTTTAGTCTAGCAGGCCTTTACAAGAGCGATAAGAGTGGAGTGCGTGTGAGTGCGAGAGGGGGCCGATGCATCGGCGATGCGGCGCCGATGCATAGCCGGTGCATCGGCGACTGCGGCCAGAGCCGGCGACCCCGTCTGGGAGGCCTCTTCACAGGGGCGGTAAGAGCGGAGAGTGCGCGTGCGAGTGCGAGAGAGGGGGCCGAGCCGTCCTTGCGTCGGTGCGGGGAGGAGGGGGAGGAGGAGGAGGAGGAGCAGGAGCAGGAGCAGGAGCAGGAGAAAGAGGAGGAGGAGGAGGAGCAGGAGCAGGAGCAGGGGGAAGGGGAGGGGGAGGAGGAGGAGGAGGAGGAGGAGGAGGAGGAGGAGGAGGAGGAGGAGTAGGAGGAGGAGGAGGAAAATGACGAGGACGAGGACGAAGGATATGGAAGAGACCGAGAGGAGGAGGACGAGGAGGAGGAGGGTTGGGTTCCGCGGTGCGGAGTGTCTTTGTTGTCTCTGTTGTCCTCGTCGTTCTGCGCCCAGCCCGCGGCTCGACCCCCCCGCGACCCACCTGGGCTGCGACACCCCCGCGCCCCCCCTCTCTCTCATCCGCCCCTGCGGGGGACACATTAGGTTCAGGAGTTCTCATCGAAGAAGAAAGACGGCCTAAACATTTGGCGCTCCGCGCGGATTTCGTGGATCCGCGCTGGACCCCCCCCCCTGGCGCGCGGAGCGCGCCAGGGGGGGGGGGGGCGCCGAAGAACGCCGCCGGGGGGCCCAGCGCGCGGAGCGCCAAAAGTTTCTGTGCGGTCGCTTCGTTTCCTATCTCGTGGAGTTTGAGAGTCGGCTCGCCCTTCCTATGCCGTGGCGTTTTACGGCTCCTGTCCCGTGGCGTCGTTTCCTCTTTTCCTGTCTCGCGGTGCTTTTCTCTTGTCCTGCCTCGTGGAGCCTGTCTTCAAGGGCATAACAAAAACGCCCCTACCCTGGTTTACGAGGCGCTGTGCGCTGAAACTCCTGTGGGCTGACAGGGTAAACCCTGCGTGATGTGCCGCGTCCTGGCGGCTCTAGGCTTTGGGGGTTCCCAGGAGGTTTACAGACCACGCATTTGTAACCCAGGGTAGGGTCGTTTTTATATCCCTCAATGCTTAGGGTTGCCGTTCCTTCTCCCTATCTCATGGCGCTTGAGGGGGTGCGCTGCGCGAGCGCCTGCGGCGCGAGGCCCGGCCGGCCTCGCGGACGGAGGGGGGCCGTGCTCGTGCGCGTGGCCCCGCGCGCACGCCTCCTCGCAAGCAGTGGCGAGGCGTCCCGGCTCGCCTCTAGCCCTACCAAACAGTGTTCTAAGAACCGCTTGTGGTTTCCACGACGTGTTCTCAGAACAGTTCTGGCGGCGTCTGCCTTTTTTATCACCTCGGGTATATGTTCTAAGTACAGTGGCTTTTGTTATTAGAACCTTTCTGTGGGTTCTAAGAACATGTCGTGGTAGAGCTATAGAAATGCAGGGACGGTCGGTCCCTGCCCACTCAAGGTGAAGAGCAGGCCCTGGGGTTATGTCGGGCGTGTCCCCCTACAGAGGATTTTCCACGAAAAATCAAAAATACCCCCAAAGACCCCAAGAAGGTCAAAAGTATGCAATAAATTGTCCCCAGATCATTGTTTGGCTATTTTTGGGGTTCTAAGAGCATGTCGTGGTAGGACCCTCTAGGAATGCCGGGACGGTCGGTTCCTGCTCAACCCTCGCGGGCTCCCCAGGAGGGGCGACCGGCGCAGCCCCGGGCGGGCCCGCGGCGCTGGCCGATGGCGACGTGCTCTCCGGCGACGGCTTCCACGAGTACTACCAGGCTCTCCTCCCTCTCCTCCTCCTCCTCCTCCTCCTCCTCCTCCTCCTCCTCCTCCTCCTCCTCCTCCTCCTCCTCCTCCTCCTCCTCCTCCTCCTCCCCTCCTCTCTCCTCCTCCTCCTCCGAAGCCAGTAGGGTAGACGTAAGACTCGAGCAAGCTGGAACTCGGGCTTGCCGACTTTTTTGTTGACGAGCGGAAGGGGGGGGAAGGGAAGGGGGGGGTCACGAATCTGCTGCATGCAGCTGGTTTCGGCCCCGCCGCCGGGCCCATTCCTCGACACATGGGCGCCTCCTGGCGCTGGGAAAACCAGCTACGTGAGCTGATTCTCTACCTTATCCTTTGCTATCCCCCCTTTCGTCCCCCCCGATGTTTGTTGACGAGCGGGTCCTGGATTGAGACGGTCCCGTTTTCGTGGGATGTCTGCAGCGGGAGCCCGCGTCAAGTTTCAGAGTGGGTCTCGTCATTCTTATGATGGCCCCCGTCAGGCCGACCCGAGCCCCCCGTGATTACCCGAGTCTTACGTCTCCCCGAACCAACGCATGCACATACAGTAAAGGCCCAAGCCAAGGAACACCCCGCTTGCCTCCAGGATGCCCCGGGTTCCTTGGGTCTCGGTGGTCTTGCTGCAGAGAGCGCGAGGTTTTTGTGGACTGGCCTCCGCTATACACCGTGGGAGGCCCGCGCGGACTTCTTGAACTTGCGCTGGAGCCCCCCAAGCATTAGGTCGGGCCTGCCCCCCTACAGGGGGATTTTCGACGAAAAATACCCCAACATGTTTAGGGCATTTTTGGTGTATTTTTATTTTTCGTCGAAAATCCCCTGTAGGGGGACAGGCCCGACCTAACCCAAGCAGCGCCTCCCTTGCCGTCCCTGGCGTGGGGGGGGGGGGGCTGGAGCAGATCCAAGAATTCTACGCGGCCCCCCCGTACGTTTCTGTTGTTTTGTTTTTTTCGTCTGGCCGGCACCATCCGAGCCTACCTTTCAGTCGGGCCTGTTGTCCCTCTACGGGAGGAGTATTCAAAAGTAGTCAAAAGAATGGTCCGGGGACGATTTGTTGACTATGATTCCCCATGTGGGGGGCATTGTTTTGGAGATGTTTTTGCATTTTTCGCCCAAAATCCCCCTGTAGGGGGACACGCCCGACTTACAACAAGCACCCTAGCGCCACCCAGGACGAGCATTCGACGTCATCCGTAGCCCGGGTTGGCTATGTTTGCCCATTCGGGGGGTATTTTTTGTGTGAGTATGTTTTGAGTTGTCGCCCCAAATCCCCCCCTGTAGGGCGACACGCCCGACTTCAACCTTCTCTTAAGTCGGGCCTGTCCCTCTACAGGGGGTATATTCAAAAAAGTCGAAACATTGTCTGGGGACTATTTTTGGAGCACTGTTAGGTCGACCATTTTGGAGTATTGTTCGAGTACGTTTTGTTGTTCGTCGAAAATCCCCCCTGTAGGGCGACGCGCCCGACTTCAACCCACTTGGTGAGCCATGTGCGCGCCAGCGCCGCAAAGGGCCACGCGCGCGCTCTGCACTCCTCGTTGCAGCACTTACATGAGCTCCGCGGCGGGCGCCCTCGGTGGCCTCGGCCGCCCTGGGGGCGAGGTGCAAACGTGCTGCGGCTGTTACAGAAGGGGGAAGGAGGAGGAGGAGGAGGAGGAGGAGGAGGGAGGAGGAGGAGGAGGGGAAAGAGGAGGAGGAGGAGGAGGAGGAGGAGGAGGAGGAGGAGGAGGAGGAGGGGAAAGAGGAGGAGGGGAAAGAGGAGGAGGGGAAAGAGGAGGAGAGGGGAAAGAGGAGGAGGAGGAGGAGTGGGATGAGGACGACGTGCTGCCAGACGAAAGGAGGGGACGAAATCTGTTGCAGCTGTTACACCTCCGCATGGACCCCAGAAGGCCATCGATGGATCCAAGGCTGAAGCACCCAAGCCAAAAAGGGTTAGGGTTAAGTCGGGCCTGTCCCTCTACAGGGGAATAGTCAAAAATAGTAAAAAGAAATAGTATGGGGACAATGTTTTGACAAGTTTTGGGTATTTTTGGGGCATGTTTGGTGTACTTTTCATTTTTCGTGTAAAATCCCCCTGTAGGGGGACAGGCCCGAAGCAAATTCAGGGCTGAAGCCCCCCAGCAAAAAGGGGGGGTAGGGAAAAGGGTCACGAAATCTGCTGCAGGCAGTTGGTTTCGGCCTTGCCGAGGGGCCCATTCCTCGATACGTGGCCGCCTCCGGCGCCGTTGGGCGCCGGGAAAATCAGCTACGTGAGCTGATTCTCAAACTCCCCCTTTGCTATCCCCCCCTTTCGCCCGGCCCGATCGTGTCCGACGTTCGAAGAGAAGGAGAACTACATAAACATGTTGTTTTGCGCTCCGCACGGATTTCTTGGGTCCGCGCTGTGCCCCCCCCCCCCCCCCCAGCGGCACCTCCAGCGCTGCCACTGGCGCGCTCCGCGCCCCAGGGAGGGGGTCAGCGCAGATCCAAGAAGTCCGCGCGGAGCGCCAAAAGTTTATGTTCATTGCGTTTTTTCTTCTCCTAGACATGAACCTCCAACATCAGCACATGGCATTCGGAGGTTGATGGACCTCCTACCCTGACACGTCGATCAGCGAATTGGCCGTTTCCAGTTCGCGAGAGGGCGTCGCGGCCGTCATCGTTACGGGGCCAGGTCCGTCGCTTGCGGTCCCAGGCCGTTTTCATTGCAGGGAGGCTTCCTAGAGGGAGGTTCGTCCACCGCCGAAGTGCTCGT